TGTTAACACGGGTGGAAGATGAGAAAAGGGGACTTAAATCCTTCATTTTTATACATTAGATTTTATTAAAATACATTTTAGTCACTCTAGGCCAGTGTGTGTGTGTAAAAGCGAATTCGTCGACGCTGGTTCGAAACGTCGTTCCTACCTTCTCTTCTGCGTTGTATGAAAGACTACCCAACTGTTCTCTGAGAATTTTTTATACAGTTGCATGTAGCTCGCTTCCAAGGTTGCAAAAACGGATACAGCTAGGCGGTCACGTGCTTCTGCATTCAGCGACCGGAAGTAACTCCAAGCTCAACGCAGCACCTGGATTCCATGTTCTGTTATGTAATTGGGTGCAAGACTTATTTCGGTATAATAAACTACAATTATTGGAGCACTGTGCACTGGGACGATAATCTCCAACGTACCCCTAGCAAAAGAAAATACGAAAATGTTTGTGTAGGGATTTATTTGCTGAGTAACATTTCGATCATTTGCTGGGATTTGATTACTTTGAAAAAAGACGGTACTGAAAAGGTAATTTGAAATTATAATCGATGAACGTTGGGAAAGAAATATTTGGAAATCCGAGAAATAATATGAAATCAATAAGAATATTGATGAAGATGCTGGGATATTGATCTTCATCTCACTGATCTAAGTAACAAAGAGTTAATCATCTGAATAAAAAAAAAATTGATTCGATCAATGATAAAAAGATTTCCGGTTCTGACAAACACTTCATGAAGGCTGAAGTACCTACTGGTCATTTCGGAGCTATCAGAGCAACAAATGTGAATTTACTGGATTTAACAATTCATTGGATAATGATTTTTCAGTTTAACTGAAATTGGAAAACCTATTTTTCATATTTAAACTTTAAAACAACATCGTAAATTTTCTAGAAAACCCGGAAAATCAAAATGAATATTTATGTATTTTAAATCCAAATGATTTAAGTAAACTTTTGGCAGGAATTCGTCTAAAGTTTTAATCGATGAATTTGATGAACAATATAACTTTATAGATTGATCTATCATTTATCCTAACAATCGCTATGTCAGATAATAGGATATGCCATTATAGGAGTGCAGACTCGTTCAACTAAGTGTTACCATAATGAGTTTTTTTTTTTTGTATTTCGTGTGATATCTTAATTTTAATGATTTAATAAACAGAATTATTTTGTGTTGTAAAATAATATATGATATAATCTGGACAGTCCATACATAAAAGATCCTGTCGTTTTTATAGGTACTATGTTGTTTATAGTTAGAATGCTATTTATAGGTGCTACACTGTTTAAAACTAAAAATGAACATTCAGAGCAACACGAAATTTCTGAGATTTTCGCAAGATGAAATTGTGAGATTATTTAAATATGGCTGCCACTTATCTTCTCGGCTCGAATAAACGAGTCTACATGAAAATCAACAAGTATATAATTATTTTCTTTCTATTTCATCATTTGACTTATCCTGACATTCAGGAATGATTACCTTTCTGATAATATATGAAAGCATTCCCAAAACAGTAGTTTTACAGTGCACTTGCAAAGATTTTTTTCAGCATGGAACTTGCGATTTTTTTCAAATTTCCATAGAGACTCGAATTTTATCTGTGGTCACGAAGCGACATTATACTCTGTAACTGATAACATTTTACATCTGTTCTGGGATACGTCTCTCTGTGTCTGTCTGTTCCTTTATCACCGTCCCTGATCCTATCTCTCTCTTTCTTCATCACCGTCCCTGATCCTATCTATCTCTCTATCTCTACACACACACACACACACACACACACACACACACATATATATATATATATATATATATATATATATATACTACAGATAAAAGTTCATTTTCTCCATCAAGACATTCATTTGTGTAGTTCACAGCTACCAGCAAACAGAAAATTATTTTTCTCCTGATGATGGCCATGTTGGCCGAAACTAGTCAAGGAATCTAAATGAAATAATAATAAAAACGATGGAATATTAATATACAACCCAGTGTGTCTGAAGATTTTAATTTTTTTTCTAGATAAACATATATTTATATAAATATATATTATGTTTAACGTTCTTTTTATAGATACAAGTATTTAAGTAAATATTCTGTTTATAATAAACAGTATTAAATAACATTTACCGGCCTGAATGTCCGAGAAATTTTCATAGAAAATATTCGTCCTTTGACAGGATTCGAACCTGCATCCTATACGGAACCGTCGTTTACGCTGACGTGCCTTACCGATCGGCCACAAAGAAGCGTTCGGTAGTCAAGGTCGAATTTACTGCTTATAAACTTCAATCTTCCATGAATCTCGTACATTCATAACTGCTCTGGCGTATCAAATGTAAACAAATGACGTCATATATTAAGAAATGGACAAAGAACGAATATTTTCTATGAAAATTTCTCGGACATTCAGGCCGGTAAATGTTATTTAATACTGTTTATTATAAACAGAGCATTTACTTAAATACTTGTATCTATAAAAAGAACGTTAAACATAAAAATGTCTTTAATAAATAGAGAGAATGACTTTTGCAAAAGACTTTGGAATTTATATTACTGTAGAGAACCGAAGATTAACAGACTTCAGAATAATTCTTTTACTAGTATACAACAATATCAAGAATCAATAAGAAAAAAAGAAGCTGTATATATAGTAAACGTTTATATATCAACACTCAAACATATAACCATGCACAAGTCAGTATTAACAAAAACGTTTCAAAAGAACTATGTCGCGGTTAAAGAAATATATCGTTTAGTATTCGCCATGTTTGGTTTCAGAGGAATGAAAAGGTTTCTGTAATTATGTCTATGTGTTCCAACAGGGAGTATGTGGGGATAAGAAAGAGGAGTTTCGTTCCCAGGCATCTATTTAGAGGGAAAAGAAAGGAAACACTCAATTAGCGGTTGGTGTCTTTCCATCTCCTCCTGATGTTTTGGTGAGTAGAAGTCGGTGCTTTTGCTGTAAGTAAATTTTCTACTACTCATTTTTTTTTTACTACTTCATTTTTTTTTCAGGTTAACTACCGAATCAAATTAGTTTGGATGAATACGAGCTGCCTAAATACACACACACACACACACATACATACATATGTATATATATATATATATATATATATATAAACATCTTATCGGAAAATTGGAAAAATATAATAAAAATTAAACAAGCAGTACTTGTCGGTTTTTTTATACTTGTTTGCGTATATATATATATATATATATATATATATATATATATATATATATATATAACATTAGCCAATTGTTAGATGAAACTTTGATTAAACTTTGAACCATTGTATCTTAGAAATGATTAAAGATATCATACTGGAATTCTGCAAGTTTTTATAACACTATTGGGATCTACTTTGAACAATAAGAATGTATTTAGCTCGAAGTTGAAATGATGATCTCTCTTCCTGCTGTGACCTACTTATGCAGTTTTCCTCTCTACTCTTCCCGCATTTTTAAACTTATTCACCATTTACTTAATGCTTCTTGATTGGACTTGGAAGATGGAAGCTAGAGTATGAATGTTAGTACCTGAATCATCTTTTTTCTCTCACCATTGCTCAGTTGGGAAGACAGGTGATGATAGTCTGTGATTATTTACATGGATGATTTCATAGCAACGATAAACACGTGCATATAAGTTGCTAGGAAATCATCCATGTAAACAATCACAGACTATCATCTCTGTCTTGTCCGTATATTGTTTAATATGTAGTACAGTAATTGACATCTTTGATAATGACTTATGTAAGCTTAGATTGGATTAAAAAATATGGATCAATATTGTGATTTTCTTTCTTCGTTTACTGATAATGTTATTAAGCTTATCAGACGTTATGAAAAGAATTTACATAAAATGAATAGATAACACTTGTCTACATTAATTAATGAAACATGCATCAATATATATATATATATATATATGAAGAAATATATATGAAGAAATATACACTTAAGGTGTGCTATATTTATGGGATAAAGTGTTTAATATCAAAGAGCGTGTGTAAATATAAAAGTGAACATTGAAGTCAACACTTAGAGGCGACAGGCTGTTTCATGCTAGACACATTCGTCAGACCTGATGATTGCGTCTAGCATGAAACAGCCTGTCCCTAAATGTTCAATGTTCACTTTTTATTTGTATATATATATATATATATATATATATATATATATATATATATATATATAGGGTGATTCAAAGTAACTCCCTATTTTATGTATGATGTACTCTCCCGTCTTGTAAAAATTAGATTTAGACAAGATGTATTATGGACTTTACTGTCTAATTTTTTTATCCTCCTGTCACTTCGATATATATATATATATATATATATATATATATATATATATATATATATATATATATATATGCATTACTTTTCTTTATCTTCGTGGATATCTGTCTACCTATCTCAATATATTCTTGTCTATATCAATTTGTTCATATTTATCTAAATACACACACTCACACGCACACATGCATATATGCCTGCACGCATACACAAATAGACATACACACACAGTAAGTATACAGTTTACACATACACAGATACGAACACATTCCATTCCAGTTTGATCTCTTCTCTAATTTTCTTTGATGTCTTCTACAAGATGTTGATGATCAAACGAAACAAATTAATGATCCTCAGGTATTTAATATACGCGCTCTGCATCAGCCCCTGTCGTTAATACACCTGCTCAAAGTTTTCAATAGCCCAATTCTAATCGCATGTCAGATAATTTGCTATGAAGTCTTATTCATCTGGATGCACATATACCTAAAGTCGCATGTATCCTATTAGTAAATCCAATTGACGTTGTTTTCAGTATAGAAAACAAAAATAAGTCAACAAGTTCGAATCCAGTCTTAGACAGTCATGTGCATTTCGTAGTAGTACTGTCCAAAGGTCTCGTTCCATTTATGCCACGGAAAAGTACTCAGTCATTATTTCTTGCTTCTGGAACTATGTAACTATGTACGTCCTGTCACTTGAAGACATGGGCTGTTTCTTGATTATCTACTATAGGTCTTATACGTTTTGGTGTATATCTATTTCTTTAAGGTAGGAAATGATGCTAACGGTTTCAGTATTTGCAAAGAGTCTTCTCATGCTGCTTTCCTTGTAGCATGTGGTGATATGCAAATTAGGTTGGAAGCTTTCTACAATCAGGAGTCGAGTTATCTTTTCTTGACTACATTGCGTATCTGTTGAAGCTATACATGACACAATATACATTCAGTTAAAATAGGTTGAGTTTTTATCCATGAATCTGACTGATTATTCAAAATTAATCGACAGATTAATTAAAATCACTTCATTTTCTCTTAGATGATCTGATACAAGATTTATTTATTTCTTCTGTTAATGAACCGGGTGTACTATTTGGGGAGGGTGTAAAAATAACGTATTCAGCAAAAGAAATTATCGTTATATAAAAATCTGAATAGATTAGAATCGTGATCAGTTCAAAATTATACATTTCAATGCTTTTTTTTATTATTATTATGAAGAATATCCCAATTGTTTCAAGTCAAAGCCATCGTTTAATTATTGTATATTTTCTGTTCATTATTTTTCTGACTTTCAAGATTTTCATTTATTGCTTTTCAAAGCATCTCTTTCATTTGACGTTTTCTTTTCATTTCGAAAATTTCATAGGAATTCAAGTCAAACACGATTCTTTACTTTTCGGAAGTCATAATTCCATACTTTGATTTTTCTTCTTTATATAGCGTGGGTGGTCTAAAAAGAACTCGGAAAATCGAGGAGTCCGTTTCAAATTCCAGCTGAGATTTTTTGTTTTCCCTTAGCACTACTCAATTGCTATGCAATATCAAAATAGAGACATCAAAATCAGGCAAGTATAGAAAACGCCACCTGGGAAACGTTATAACAGACTACGAACGTGTGGCAACGAAATCCGAAGGCACGTTGGAATAGTAAAAGATGCCTTCCAAAAGCTAAGCAAAGTATTAAAAAAAAAGAAAATTTCATTAAGAACAAAGAAAAGAATACTGACCTGTTATGTAATAGCAATTCCCCTTCATGGCACTGAATGCGGGGAAATTTCCTCACGGGTGCAGAGGAGACTCGAACAACAGAGATGGAATTTTACAAAAGAATGCTAAGAATGTCATAGACAGAACATTTGGACAACAAGTAAGTTTGGAGGAACATTGAGAACGAAAGGAGCACTTGTTCTTAGAATCAGAACAAGCTACTTGAAATTTTGGGAACAGATTATGAGAAAAGAAGGCTTGGATAATTTAACAATCACAGAACAGATTGAAGACAAGAGAGTTCTAGCGAAGAACCTAACGAGTTTCTGTAAATGAATAGCAGAAAAAGATGTGAGGGATAGTAAGAGGACATTAATTGCTTCGAGATACAAAGGATAGCAAGATGTGGCACAAAAAAGTAGAACCAATCTTTTTCCACGCCGCTATGTGTGCTAAATACCAAGAAAGACAAACAGTCTAGGAAAGGAAAATTCTGATTTTGAACTACAAAGAAAAACAGGAAACCACTCCACCACTTTGTTCAAGAATCATCAAGGCAATGGACAGTTTATAGAAATCAACGTGCAAAATTGTGGACTAATTTCATAAAATGATTATACACCTTTATTTTAATAGGAAATGAAGATTATTTACACATATACTTTTATCAGTTGTGTCTGTGAACCGTGAGGATTAGAAAAGAAGTTGTTGCCTTTTCATAGGTGTCGTGTAACAGAAAATAAACCGTTTTAATCAGCTTCAGTCTGAAAGAACGTCAATGTAAAAGTATTATGCCAATGAAAGATCTGAGATAATAGTCATGACAATTTGAAAGGCAAAATGTTCCATTTTATTAACATGAGTGTAAGGTTCATTTGCAATTCATTGTAGATGAACATAAGCTGAGCTTTTTACAATAAAATTATGGGTAAAATGTCTGCTGAAACAAAGATGAAAGGGAAGATGAGTCAATAAGTAAAATAGCCGAACGGTTGGTAATTTGCAGAAGTCGTGTCGCAACCATTTGAAAGACATTTTCTACTAGTGGAAGTGTTTTAAGTGGAAAGTTATACAAGAGAATATGAAAGAAAAGTTGTCAAAGTCTCAGTAAACTATTCAAAATTAACAGTGAAGAGCGAAGACAGTCTTAACATTGAGGTTTCAGTTGATCCAGTATGCAGAGTATGATGAAAAACAAAGAAGTTGAACGGGTGTAATGCAGCAAAAAATATCATTAACCAGAAAACATTGGAATACAAGATTGAAGAGGTCAAAAGAACATCTAACATATCATTAACCAGAAAACATCGGAATACAAGATTGAAGGGGTCAAAAGAACATCTAACATATCATTAACCAGAAAACATCGGAATTTGTTTAACTTCTGAGATAGAGAGAAATCTTTCAATCTTACGATTCTCCCAGTCACATATCACATACAACAGAACGGTTTCTTGCAGATGAAAATGTTCACCTTTTGCAAGATTGGTCAGCACAAAATTCTTATACAACTGAAGCACTTGTTACGAGAACTGAAGAAACAAGTGCTCCAACTAAAACCGCGGAATCTCTAAGAGCTTTAGAATTAATACCAAGAAGAATGGGGAAAATTTCCCAATCAGAAAATTTAGGCGTTGTTTCATTCAATGCGTTTTGTAAATGCTGTAATAATAAGGATCCCTTTTTGCAAAAGAAGATTATTTTTCACTTTAGACGAGAAGAAAGAGCTAAAATACAGCATTAACAAAAATGTTGTCACTTGTTTTCTGGCTCCCCAGAGATCATAAATTTTACCGAGAAAGAGCAGACGACTAATCGCGATTTCCAAGCAAAATTAACAAACGTAATTAATTTACCGAGGTGACACAAACGTTTTGGTGTAACTAAAGAATGTAGCTGCTGAGAACATTTGCCATAAATCTATCATTATTATAATTTACAATTTTTAAATGGGTGAAAATCTAGTCAACGTATTTTTACATAGTAATTTCTAATGTAAGAGAATGTAAACATCCAAGGTAAAATGAAAGTGTCAACGTTAAAATTCTTACAGCAATAAATTATATCTACTGTAATGTTTAGCATTCCTCTAGCTGAGTTTGTCTCTGTGTGGTGCTGCACCGAGACACGGTTTCCTGGGTGACTGACATACAAACTATTGCACTTCCCCCAGTAACTTTAATTTTAACACTAGGTGAGTAAATTCCAGGAGAAGAAGTCAGGATTAAGAACTGGGAAAAGAAAATAAATCTAATAAAATAATAAACCTTATCATTTAATTACATCCTGATTAATCTTTCTTTTCCCGCTCATTATTAATGTTTCTGTTCGTAATTATTCTACACCATGTAACTCGTTGTGTCTTAGTGGCTTTATTGCCTTACATGAGATGATACCGATTTTAAAAAAATTAAAAATAAATACTTGCAAATTTTTTGGGAAATATATATTTCTGAAATTTCTCCTCTATTGAACTTTGATGAGAGGGAACCGATGAACCGGTTAAGCTACCTTATTTTTTGTTAATTGTGTGTTTTGTATTTAAATATTACCACTTTACAGCAATGTAATTTTCTTTTCTTTTTTTACCCCCTCTTTTTTCTATTTTTCTCTTTTTGTTGTTTTGAAATTCCCGTTTATATCGTTATCTGTAAAAACAAACTGTATGCTAGAAAAATGCGGAAAGATATTGCCGCCTAAGCAACTTTATTGTAACACTTTATTCTTACTATTTACATTCTTATTTTTAAATCATTAACTAAATTTTTCATTGAATATTTTCAAAAAAAATAAAATAAATAAAATAAACACACACACAATTTGGGTAAGTTTCGCTAAAGAAAAAGCGTACAAAGCCATGGGTTAAGCAGTCAATTATTTTGTCGTATTTCAAATCTTCTACATCAGCCACTGCAGGTGACAACATTTATGGAAACAGAAGATTATTTTGGGGCTGTGATGACGCTCAAAATATTTTCCACTTATAATTTATTGGTAACTTTTTCTTCGACATATGTGGGTGAAATATATAAGTGTAGGTCTTTTGTAGAAACAGAGAAATGTACAGCGAAATGTCAAAATGTCGAGGAAACAGGAATTGGTACTTTTTTCATTTCTCGCTCTCTCATTCACACTGTCCCTCGCGTTCGTCTATTTTTCTTCGCTCTTTCCTTTCTCTCTTACTTTTTGTCTCGTTCATATAGTCTCACTTTTTTGTCCACTCTCTCTCTTTCATATTTCTCTATCATCTTCAAACATTTTTTCCTCCATTCTCTCTCTCTCTCTCTCTCTCTCTCTCATCTCTCACAAGCAAATCTCATAGTCTTTCCTTATTATTCGGCTATTTTGCATTCTCCTTATTGCTATTATAGATTTTCGCATTTAGCAATGACATTCTTTCTCTGTCTGTCTGTCTGTCTCTCTCTATCTCTCTCTCTCTCTCCCCCCTCTTTCATTCTCATAATCTTTCGCATTCGGCCATTTTCCTTCCCTTTCTCTCACTTCTTTTCTCTGATCCACTTTCATAGTCTTTCACATACATTTTCCTTCTTCCTCTCTCTCTCTCTCTCTCTCTCTCTCTCAATCACTCTCTCTCAGATTGCCTTTCCCAATCGAAAATTTTCCCTTTATCTCTCGCTATTGTAGTCTTTCGCATCTGGTAATTACATTCTATCTATCTATCTATCTATCTATCTATCTATCTATCTATCTATCTATCTCACGCTAATTTTTAAAATTTTTTTATTCGACTATTTTCTTTCTAAATTCACAGTCTTTTTTATTAGTTCGTTTTCCACAAAACTACATTTTAATCGTCTTTGCTTTGCATCTATCTATCTATCTATCTATCTATCTATCTATCTATCTATCTATCTATCTATCTATCTATCTATCTATCTTTTTCATTCGGCCATCTTCCTACCCACTTTCTCTCTCTCTCACTTTCAATACTGTTTCTTATTAGTTCATTTTCCACAAAATTCTTCTCTCTCATTTTTCACATTCGGCCATTTTGCTTTTTATTTACTCTCTCTCTCTCTCTCTCTCTCTCTCTTTCTCTCACTCTCAGTCTTTTTCATTTGACCTCTCTCTTAGTCTTTCTTATTCGTTCATTTCCCAGAAGAAGAAAAAAAATCTCTTTTTCTCTCATTTTAATTGCCCTTTGCATTCGGCCATTTTGCTTCTGCATTACTCTCTCACTCTCTCTCCCCCGTCATAACCTTTCTTTCAACTGTATCCCTTACTCCCCTCTTCCCTTTTTATTCATTTTCCTTTTCCCCGCGTCTCTCTCACCCCCCTCTCTCTCTCCTCACCCTCTTTTTTATTCCTTCTCTCATAATTTCCCGACTCTTTTTCTCTTTAATTCCTCATAGATTTTCTTGTTTTTCATTGTCTCTCTTGCATTTTTCTTTCACTGTGACGCTCTCGAAGTTTCTTTCTCTTTCATCTTTCTCAATCTCTCTTTTCTATTTATCATTTCCTTCTTCCTTTCCTTCTCTAATTTCCCTGACAAATTAATTTATTCTTCTCTGAATTCGTTTGAAGAATTTCCAATTTTAGAATTTATTTTTTGAAATTCCAAATCAGAAATTAGATTATTAAATCAATTTTCAGTGAAACGAAAACACCCGAATCTCCTCGCTAAATTTCTTCAATTTTACAAAGTTTATAGAAGATATTCACACCCAACATGTGCTTGGGTTTAGCAGCTTGAAGCCTTACGACGGTCATAGTAAATGTTCTTTGAAATAGAAACCCAACAAAACTAGGAGCAGAGAACAAAGATGAAGAACAATTTGTAAAAAAAAGTTCCTGACAGAAACAATGGTCCCCATTTTGGTTCTTTAAATGCAAATAATACGCGTTATAGACAATTACTTAATTTAGTCCAAAAATAACTCTCTTTGTCTGACACAAGGTCGCTGTTTGGAGCTCCAGTGAGAATGAAACACGCTAAAATAATAATTGTCTGCTTGACTAGCTTAATAAGCTTTACTTCTTGTCGAGTACTCCTTAATTACAAAGATGATTTTTTTAGTCATTTCACTCCAAGCAAGGAAATAAAGCCCCTGGGACGCAAGAAGTTACTGAGTGTTAAGGGAGGATGAGAAAAAACAACTATTAAGGTGAGAAGACAGTAAAAGAAGAAGAATTAAAAAGACAGGCGTTAACGATTGACATTGCATTTAATTTTTTGAAGATCAAAGTTGACTGGAAAACAAGAAGCCGAAAAGGGAATTCCACAAGCGAGAAGTGCGATAGAATAAACTATAAACATAGAACTACGGTTACATCTAGCCATTTCAACTGTAAAACGATGAGACCTTGCCGCCAATTTAGTACTGAGCTTAAATTCATGAAGTTTAGGTACCATTGTGGAACATCGATCAGAACAATGACCATGAAAATATTTATAGAAAAGACACAGAGAAACTATATTACAACAGTGGAGAAAGTGACTGAAGTCGAGATGCCAGGCCAGAGCCAATAATATTGCAGGGTCTTTGGATTTTATCAAGAATCTCTAAATATATAGCTGGATCCCCAAAACAGATATGCAGAAATATTCAAAGCAAGAACGAAGGACAGACTTTTAAATATGTAAGATAGATTCTGAGAGGAAAACTTCTTTAGCATAACACTGAATCAACTTTAGCTGCAGATTTAGCAATTGATTCAAAATACTCTTTCCACTTCATGTCAGATAAAAACGTTAATCCGAGAAGGCACAATGAATCCCTCACGTGGAGATTAGCATCAGCCATAAAGGTAAAAAGGTTTCTCTCAGAGAGCAGTTCCGTTTTTGAGACGTTAAAATTAACAAGCCACTCCTTGCACTATTTAACAACATATTTTTTACATCAGCTGCCAATTTGACTTTATCACCCCGATCAGACTTACTATTAAGACTGGGGTAATTAGTTACGTCATCCTCATAGCTGCCAAGTTGGGAACTGATGACATAAAGATGGTCATTCATGAAAACTAGAAACGACATAAGTCCAAGAATACAACCCTGAGGAACGCCTATATTTATGCAACAGATCTAGAAGAGTGGACATTCAAGAAAACCTTCATTTCGTAATATGATAAGAAATACTGAATCAGTTTAAAAATTCGCCCAGAAATACCATGACCTCAACTTTTAACTTGTGAAAAGACCAGTATGCCAAAACCCTGTCAAATGCCTTTGAGATATGTAAAAACAGCAGCTCCAGCTTCTTATC